AAAGTATTTGATCCCCTGCTGATTTTGTACGTTTGCCCACTGACAAAGAAATTATCAGTCTATAATTTGAATGGTAGGTTTATTTGAACAGTGAGAGACAGAATAACAACAACAAAATTCAGAAAAACGCATGTCAAAAATGTTATAAATTGATTTGCATTTTAATGAGGGAAATAAGTATTTGACCCCCTCTCAATCAGAAAGATGTCTGGCTCCCAGGTGTCTTTTATACAGGTAAGAAAGAGGGGGGAAGCTGCTGATGCAGGCTGCTGCTTTTAAGTCTTAGAAATGAGCGTAGCCCAGAGTCATAAACGAAGTGGGGGGAGGGGGGGGGCGCTAGTGATGTTAAAGTGAGAAATGTGCATGTCAATGTAAGCTCGCAGCGCGCCGTCACATCGAGGACTGCATGTAAACGTAGGATCGGAGAAATGTGCATGTTAATGCATCATGTTAATGTGATTGGCAGGTCTTTGGACAAGCCAAGAAAAAGACTGGCACAGTACTGCTTATAATCAATGCTACTGTAAATGTGATTTACAGAGTCTAATGCAGCAGATGTGGTGCTGTATTGGCCAGCACCACGCCCGAACGTCTTTGTCTCCCCAGTGACGATGTTTACACACCGCGCCAGGTACTAATTTGAGGCTGAGTTAACCTAGGGGAGGCCCGGGACTCGTTCAGATAATCGTCACTGATGTTGGCCGTGAGCGGGAATCGAACCCGGGTCGCCGGGTTCATAGCGCAGCACGCTAACGGCTACACTACTGCACACACACACAGACACACAGACAGACACACAGACACACACAGACAGACACACAGACACACACACAGACACACACACCATCCGCTCTTAGGGCTGCCCTTTCGTCTGCAGGCACATGGAAACCATCGCAATGACCCTCTCAGCAATCAGCCGCCCTCCACGTTGCCAGGGTCCCACCCAGCGCAGCCATTTACGCCCGATCGTGTCCGCAACGCTTGACCCTGCCTGCCATGTCCTCCTTCAGATCTCCGGATTGTTTTTTCATGTCTTGCCCCCAACATTCCAAGCGTCCATCTCTCTCACACCTTGAGCTCGAATGTTGGAGAGCGCTTGCGAGTGATGGGGATTGCTGGTGAGCACTGAGTGAGTTTTGGTTGCGCGCTGCCAAGTCGTGGTCATTCACACAAAAAAACAGCTTGTAATCATCAGCCATGGTCGATCCACTGCTGGGTGAAGGCCACCCCAAGCTGCCATCATCTCTCATGATCGTTTGATTTAAAAGGGCGCCACGGTGGCGAGATGTTAGCTACCTCGCCTGGTGTACAGGAGGTTGTGTGTTCGATTCGGACCATGACGCCTGCTGTTGTATATTTTAAGTTTGCATGTTCTCTCCGGCTTTTTCCCCTCCACACGTGCATTTAGAATATTTGGCAGCTATAAATTTCCACGTGATAAGCCACTTCGCTGAGCAATCATTTGTGGCCAGGTCGCTTCTGAAAAAGAGCTGTATATCTCTGGGCCTCACCCGGTAAAATTGACATTGTTTATAGTTTGAGTTTAATCACCTACCTGGCACCTGCACACGCGCTGATTGCAGCGCTCCGTTTCTGGGGTTGACGTAATCTCACTTGCATCTCTGATTTCATTCTCAATGATGAAACCAGGGGAGGTGTGGGTATAAGCAATGTTGGCAATCACTGAGTACGAGCAGGAAGCCTGCATGATTTATTTATGCGATGAGATGTGATAGGCACTTTAATTTTCTGCGGCATTTATTTGCCTAATAAATGTAAATCCGTGTCTTCTTACAATGTGCTGACTTTATCCGAAGAATCAAACCTCGCTTGTAATCCCATGCTCTCTATTCCCGCCGTATTATTATTATTGATACACATGTGTTGTGTGCGTTTCATTGCAATACATCTGCATAGCGTTTGGTTTAAATGAAAAGAAAACCAATTCCTGTTATTTGGACAAATTCCGCCATTTTCTCGAGGCATTGTTTTCTAAGCTGCTAGAATGCAATAGTTTTGCATATGCAGTACTGTATATTGCTTTGCATTTTTGCTTCAACAGAGTATGAACGCATCTTAATGTGAGTAAGGAGTGGACCAGGCAAACTGATTGGTCCGTTTCAAAGACTATGCATATATTATCAGTGTTTTTTGTTTGCATTCTGACCACAAGTATTGTGGTAAATGCAAACATGATTCCTTGTAAAAGGTTTCAGTCTGGTGTTTTAACATCTTCAATAGCACCTGTTTTGTTGCGAGAAAAAAGGGGAAAACCCATCATCTTTTGGTCCTGGCAAAGGAGGTCCCATGATGAGGAAGAGTGTGGTTGTATGGTTTCCGTTCTCAATAAGGACCACCTACCCCCCCACGTGTAAATGACACAGCCTAATAAAGTCGATGCCCTTTCAGGAGACCTGACTTCAGCACAGGGTCAACAACATTTTCAAATGACTAAAACATATTCTATATCCATCTATTGACCTTACACATACAATAACTACGAAAATGTTTTTTTTTTTCATGAATTGTATATTCTGTACATGGATGTTAAATAAGCATACACCCCCGAGGACCACACATCACCCAGAATGCACCCGATCTCGTCAGATCGGGGCGCCGAGGTGGCTAGGAGATGTTATCTCCCTCGCCTGGTCTACAGGAGGTCGTGGGTTCTATCCCGACCCAGACGCCTGCATGTTGAGAGTTTGTGTCCCCCCCCCCACCCCGCGGTCGCGTGGATTGGTATTACCTTCACATTAAGACACATACTTTTAAAGTTTTTGGCTACTTTGGATGTCCACGTGATAAGCCACTTCGTTGAGCTATCATTGTGGCCAGGGCCCTTATAGCTCAGTGGGCATTACCTGGTAAAAACATTTTTTTAAGTCTACATGTGTACATGTACAGCATGAATATTCTGCGGTGTAAACCAACAGAAACACATTCACCAAATACAGGTAAGTGCATTGTGTGTGTGCCGGTGGGTGTATGTAATTGTCTGCTCTGCGGTAGCCTCCGTCATGCTTGTCAGAGCTCGTAGGCTTGAATTCAAAACCTCAAACTGGTTTGGAGAGTTCCCACACTGGAAGAGTGTCCAATAACTACACTGTATATGGACCGTGTACAATAAGCTTAGCTCGCTGTTGCACGCTCCGCGCAGATTTCATCTGACAGGCGGCAAGACTTTTGTCAATTAACCACCAGAAGCAAGGCACCCCACTCCATATGAAATCTGTGGTGGGGGTGTTTTGACCATACTTCACCACGCTGGTCAGTGCGGGTTGGTGAACGGTAAGGTGAGAGACCTTAGATCGATTGGTTCAGATACAGCGCACCGCCAATGTTAGCCATGGCTGGGAATCAAACTCGGGAGGCGAGGTTGATAGGGCAGTGCCCTAACCGCAGTGACTAATAATTAATGAATCATTAGAACATGTACATGGCTGTACTTTTAACACAAGTACGCATTGCACATGTTTAATGTTGCAGTATTTCCACAATGCTCGCTTGAGTTGGAGCCTACAATACGCGCTACGTGAAAAGGGATCTGGTGCATTGGTTGATGGGAAATGCACCGCCGACTGATTTAGCATGAAGCTTCACTCAAGTGAGTGGTGAAGGAGTGAAGGTTTTGTTTTTGGTGGTGTTACCAGCTCTACCCGCAAGTCCTGTATCTGGTGGGAACTGCCTTCTGCCAGGACATGAATTTAACGCAAAACTGCTTGGCCATGTCGTATCTCTCTTACTTTTCCAGCAAAGCTCACGTACGATTTATGTGCGGCTTTCCCAAACACAAGTGGGGGTGTTTGCGAACGCCAATTGTAAATCACTCCCTTGGCAAGGGATGCTTTTTTATATTCGTAAATTTCTTTGCAAATTCATGCAAATAATGGACGCGGTCAAACACCAATGTGCATTTACGTTTACGGCTGTGAACATTTTATCAATACATTCATGTCATGCTTATGGGAGCATTGTGTATATACATTCATGTATATACATTCATGTCTCGTCAGGAGTCTCAGCAGTAGAGTTAGATCAGAAGGTTGTGAGTTCAAATCGGGGATGGGGGTTGACTCAGCCCATCATCCCTCTGGGGTTTGTTATATTGAGTATGATTTTGTGCGGAAGTCAAAAGTGGTTGTCTTATGGATAGACTCTCCCCTGTCGTATGAACGTGGAATTTCCACCCCTGTAAGCAGGTGAGTGCCACGTCAGTGCGGCGGTGAGCAGAAAATCACTTTGACTTTATGTGTTCACTGTATAAGGAGTGGCTTCATGGTGAATTTGCAAAACTCTGCATTCGTTTTTTGTTACAACTGTAGACCATGCAAGCAATAGTAACATTCTCAACAGAACTAGAAATATCATCATCATCATCACCATGGTGATTTGACTACCGGTTGAAGGCCCCTCCAAAAAGTCACAATCTCTCGCGATCCTGCTGGGAACTATTACACCGAACATCTGCACATGTGCCGATGACATCGATTCACCTCCTTCATAAACACCCTTTCAAGCTGCGACTGATGTCATCGTCCGCGATGACAGCAGGGGTAGAGGTGTAGGTGTCAAGCGATGTTATGACGCACTGGGTAAGAACGAGGATGCCTGTTTCGAGTTGGCCTGTTGCTATTGGCAAATGTACGGACTTTATCAGAAAAGAATAACATAATAAATCCAGCTGTATATATGGAATACATTGTAGAGGTTTAAAATGTTTGGTCATATGTCAGCACTTGAATATACTGTCGTTTATTATAATTTCGTAATACATTCCACATGAAAGCCTTCCCAGTACGCATGGGATGTTGGGCTAACAGTTCCAACTAGATGCCAACGTTGGGCCAATGTTGACATTTTTACACGGTTACGGTAATTTTAGGGGAAAAAATTACAGAGAATGGAATACTGCTCAAAAATGAACATAGAAGAAACATTTCTGAAGATAACAGCAAAAACAAAATCACTTTTTGATTTGTTGTAACTTTCCTGCAGACAACTGTAATAAAAGGCCTTCGCGTAATCAGTCGGAATGTCAGTCTGCTATCCAGTCATTGTGAATATATGGAGCTGTGGAAGCACTTGGCAGCTGTCACGGTAATTAGAATTAAAACTAATTGCACGTTGTGTCTCTTTGTATACTGTGGGAACAGTGCGCACACTTACAATAGGCCTGGAACGATTCGATGAATTTTAATGAATGTTGGTTGTGATTACCTGCCAAGAATCGGTCCCTCTGCGAACATCGTGGTGGATTGTAGCACCTCTAGCGGCTTCCAGGGTCACGTGAGCCGATTGCCGATGAAACGCGGACCGCAAGTTATTGAATCCCGCGCGGACACAATTGGACGTCTGCATTGTGAGCGCAAGAGTCGATTTTAATCAATGCATCGAGCGAGGCATCGTCCCACCGATACTTTACAACATACGGTGATATTCGTCTGTGCGCGTGCGAAGAATGTACGTTACAATTTCAGCACAAGAGATGGGATATTTTTTTTTTAATACTAACAGTAGATCTCTTTGGGTAATAAATGTCTCAACGAAAAAGTTTTGCATTGATTTATCCAACCGTTTTTGGGGAAAAATAAAACTGCTTGCAAAATATTTACAATAGTGCATTATGTAAGTTAGTGCTTTGTGTGGAATATTCAGAGGCCGTTGCCACGTAAATTTTCATGCGTCGTCGCCCATTCAATGTGTGTGAAAGCGGCGCCGTTACAATGACATTGACTGAAAAAAGTCCTGCTTCATTCCAAAGGTCTGCAAAATTGTTGCAAAGATGTCAAGCTGGACATTTATGCAATGTTCGTGATTGTGTTATTTTTTTTTACACTGTGTGGGTGTAAGCGTTTTCAAACGTTAGATTTTTAGAGCTCTGTCCATGCAGTTTTCCACGAATGTAATGGCACATTACCCGTGATTTATACATCACACAAACATGTGTGGAGTGCTGCCTAGTGTGGTGTGAAAGCAATATTAAGACATTATTTAGTGATAATCGCCGTACGATACTGCCTTGCTCCCAAGAGCAGGGACATTAAGCCACAATGACTGTTGAGTATTCTGCATGGATTTTCATAAAATTTATTTCGAGAAGAACGTGTGTGTTTTTACCCTTAATTTAAATGCATGGATGTGTAAAATACTGTCCAGGGTGTCCATAAAGATATCAGCTGTTATTATATTCAGAGTTTGGGCAAGGTTAATGATGTGCTTTTGATTTGGCGGTCTATACTCCCTACAACACATCTCAAACATATAATAAGGCACCCACAGCGGCAGCTGTCCCTGTGTGGCACAGGTTGACTCGGCACCTGGCTTGCAAATGGACATTAGCCTGCCGGTAGGGGGCGATGATTGCCACTGCGTATAATAAAAAATTAGTAATTTGCAAATAATTTTCGAATTTGGCCGACTTGGACTCTGATGCCGGCTAACCAGGGCGGCCACTGGATTCGAACCGTGAACGTCTGCAGTAAGCGGCGAACGCACTACCGTTGTGCCGCGTCATTGCCCGTACGGTGCAAAAGAAGTTCAACATGCATACGGAAATTACGTACAGATACAAGTACAGCACGCACGCACGCACGTTAGTCTCGTCCCTCGAAACCTCCACGTCTCCCGCGGTGTTGGTTGGCGACACTGCTTCCGCGCGGACGTTTGAGAGGTTCCCAGGGACGATCGCCTCGAATGGTTCTCTTCTGCACTGTTGCTGAGATCAACAATTGGAGCGTCTAAGCCAGGGCTCGGCAACTTGCGTGCGGTTCCAGAGCCGTCCGCCGCTCCTTCAAAGGGCTGCTTCGTGACGTTGTGCATCGCGGCTTTTTGAAATATCGTTTTTTTTTGTTTTACCGAATTCGAGAAAAAATGGCACTTCTTGTTATTTTGGTTGCTCAACCCCTGGTACAAGGAATGCGTTGCCAATATTTCAACCGTGCAGTTGAAGCTGCCGCCTAGTTAATCTTCTTTCAATAAATGATGGTACCTTTATAGAGCACTGTGTGTTTATTAGCCTGAGTAATTTGGCTGGGATTCTTTTACACAAGGTTCAGTACATCATTCAATTTTTTAAATGGGAGAACAGCCCCATTTGTAGGATTTCCACTTTAAGTAAATCATTGTCATTCCATTAAATGGGCTCTAAGTGCATTGAGACTCTTCATCTTATCGGCATTGCAACACTTGAGACTATTGTTACCGAAGTCCGTGTATTGTTATGAACAGGGAACTGTGGCTGTTCTTGAAGTTTGAGATCGGTGCGAGGACAGTAGCATGCAATGGCATACTCTTGTAAATTACATCAGCATCCTAACATCACCATTTGTCTTGACAAATCCAAACGTAAGTCATGGATTTGCTGCTTTATGCAAACAGCTTCAGTGACTGGTGAGCTAACCTCCGAGTAATCTGAGTATTCATTTGCATTTTGTAATCACCTGCCTGCCTGACAGCTGGAATAAATGTCAGGAACCCGAGTTGTAGCATTTCATCTTCAGTGGAGAGTGTGCAGTTCGGGTGAGACAAAGCCTCTTAACACAAGCAAGAGTCATATCTAAGAGTTGATGGGAATTTTTACCCGCACAATGTATTCCTCCATCTCAGACATGGGACATTTTAAAGACCTGTTTCATGAAATCCAATTCCGGGGGACTCAACCGGTTTGTACGGATCACTTTGTACATTTGGGTGGTCGAAAGTGAGTAAGCCCTTGGCGCTCGAACGTGTCATCGCGCTGTTCTGTCTGGCTCGTTGAAATCAGACGCAGTAGGAATGCACGAATGCAGGATGCAATGCAGTCCAGCTCCAGTGACCCGGCACGACATGCCGCAGAATACACACGCGGCCATCCACCCCTGTGCTCTGACAACAGTTCAAAGGTTACGTTTGTAATTCTTCAATGTTTTACTGATTTAGAAATGCAAATAAATAATGTCAGTTTTAAGTGCGCAATCTTACAGAGACTAAATGCGTGCCGGGGCTGTGTTGTGCAAGTATGCGTCATCAAGTCAATGCAGTGAGATGTGAACACCGTCAATCGAGGGATTTGCTTAAATTATCCAAACTGCAGATTGCTACTTAACATCAAGGGCAGTGGTGTTTTCCCGTCGCGTTGCCAACGGCAACGCAGTCGGCTCCAAAGATACCCCAGCATCGCATAGTCCTCGCTTCTACAAATCCCGCCGCCACAGTTCCTAAACCTTGCTGTTGGAGGTGGCCTCGTGCTCCTGGCTCGACACCTCGGCGCCGGAGTACGACCCGCGGCGGAAGAGGCGGCGCACGGCCCTGCGGAATTCGTACGAGCTGAAGTAGAAGACGAACGGATCGAGGCAGGCGCTGAGGCTGCTGAAGGCGAGCGTGAGCCGGTAGACCCCGTACAGGCCGCTGCTCCCGCGTATCCAGTTGAGCAGCGCGTGTGCCAGCAGCACGCAGTTGCACGGCGCGAAGCACGTGACGAACATGAGCAGCACCACGGCGGACAGCCGCATGGCTCGGCGACGAAAGTTGCCGACCTTGGCGCCGCCGCCGCCGCCGCCCGCGGTGCCGCCGCTGCCGCCGCCGCCGCCTTTGGCGAGCTCGCGGATGACGGACACGTAGCAGAAGACGGTGACGCAGAAGGGCAGCAGGAAGATGACGAGGAAGAAGACGACGCAGTAGACTTGGAAGAAGGTGACGACGGCGTCGCTCTTGGGGAAGACGTCGTAGCAGGTGGTGACGCCCAGCTCGGGCACGCGCCGCGTCAGGTCCACGGCGTGCAGGGGCGCCGTGGCGAGCACCATCAGGGCCCACGTGGCGGCGCAGGCGCCGGCGGCGAAGCGGCCGCTCCTGAGCCTGTGGAAGCCGTGCGGGTGCAGGACGGCCAGGTAGCGGTCGACGCTGATGCACGCCAGGAAGTAGATGGAGCAGTGCGTGTTGAGGTAGAGCAGCGCGGTGACCGCGTGGCACAGGAAGCGGCCGAAGGGCCAGTGGTTGCCGCCGTAGTGGTAGGCGATCTGCAGAGGGAGGAAAATGACGAAGGCCAGGTCGACGGCCGCCAGGTTGAGGATGTAGATGCTCGTCGGGGACGGACGGCGTCCCGCGGCGGCGGCGGCGGCGTCGGCGGCGCGACCCGCCCCGGGCTTGAAGGAGCGCGTGCCGCGCATCAGCAGGGCGGCCACGCTGGAGGGCAGCGTGACGGCGAAGACCAGCACGTAGATGGTGGGCAGTGCGACGGTGGTCAGGCGTCCCGTGAGCAGCGCCCGCGTGAAGTTGTCGAGCTTGCTGATGTTGAGCGAGCCGCCGCCGCTGCTGCTGTTGCCGTCCATCGTGGTGCTGAAATGAAATAAGGTTGGGCACGGGTATAGATTCCAGCGAAAACGAATGCATTGCACTCTCTCGTTGGTGTTGTTACTTTTTTTATTTATTTTTACTATGTAAAGCCCACTGAGCTATGTAGCTCTTTTTCAGAAGGGGCCATAGCAACAGACGAAAGCTCAACAAAGTGGCTCATCATTACGTGGGAAGGTAAAGCAGTCAAATACTCGAAACGAACGTTGATTCTAGATGTGGAGGGAAAAACCGGAGGACCTCGAGAAAAATCCACACGACCACGGGGAGAACATGCAAACTCCAAATGTACAGGCGTCAGGGTCGGGATCTAACTCACAAGCTCCTGTATACCAGGTGAGGTAGTTAACATCTCGCCACAGTGGCGCAGTGAACTTCCCTTCGCTTTACTTCATCGTTCTTGTTCACTACTGACGTTTCAAACTCTTTGATTCCATCCCAAAATGATAAGAATCCCCATTTGCTTGGAAGAAAATATGTTGGCCAAGAGCTTACCTATCTCTTATGGCTATATTATTTAAATTGACAATAATTGTGGTTTAATAGCCTTGCTTTCACCGCCAGCATTCAATCTGGTAGTTAGATCACACCGCCGTGTGTCGTGTGTGTTTGTAGATGCCAGGAAGGTATTGCATGTATTTTGTTTTATCACGACACTATCCAGGCTATGGCACAATTGTGCACGTGTGCTCTGTTATCCCCTGCACAGAAGAGCAGTCTCCACTTCATTCAATCACAAGCGGGTTGTGTTTACCCTGACTATGTAATTAATAATCGATGTGAGACACGATGTGTGTCTCTAGCTCGTAACCGTACTCGGCTGACTCGTGTTGCTCCTAACCGATAACAAGAGTATGCCAACGTTTTCAGCATGTCGTTATTTTACGTCGGAACACCAATTTCAATCGCAGAATAGACAGGATTTGCTATTGTGGGTAACTCATGAAAGATTCAGAGAGGCTGCATTTGCACACATTAAAGACATACATTATTCATGGTGCTCTTTTTGCAAGCGCGCTTTGCTTAGAAATATTGCCAAGTGTAAAAATATAATTTTTCTCCTCGTGCTAAAGAACGCCATTGTCTGTGTTCTTGCGTCAATCGTGTGGCGTTTAAGTTTGTTTATCATCTTTCCCGTTCGACAGTAGAATCACTGTTGTAGTGCGGAAGATCCCGACGGTGATGTTCTTCACAATCATATTCACGCCTTGACTGTCCCCGGAGCAATTTTCGCAAAGCAACTTCTTAATGTCGCCGTGTGAAAATGAAGAAGTTGGCTCGTGATACATTCACGCAAATGTAATGAACGACAAAGTTCGTTAAATAAAACTGGAGGTGTCTGTCAGGGGGTAACCCAGAGGAACTCACAACATAATATGTGTCATTAGGACAGTTACAGAAGGGGGAATGAGATCAAAATGAGACGGAAGAAAGCGGTTTGGAATGCTGTTGGGAAACTCAACTCATTAATGAAAAGCCATTCCCCCTCTTTTCCTAATCAAGATATATATTTTAATTGTTGCTTACGATCTGTTCTGACATATGTATCAGAAAAATTGTCATTAGAATGTCGGTATGTACGTTGAACTTCTTTCGCAACCGTGTGTAGCCGACCGCGACATTTTAGTGTGTACGGGCGGTATATGAATACGTGTAAATTGTGAAAATGTAAGCAATTGAATTTCTACAACAGGTTGTGGATAATTTTTCGTAATGTTATTCAAATTTGCCAAAATTTGAAGAATGACCCACAAATTACTCAATTGGGACTATACACAGCAGCAGTCATCATCATCTCCAACTATGACAACTCGGCAAGACCCTCCTGAAAAAGAGTCGTGGGACTCGGTGAGGCCTTCCGAGGGTAAACAGGCTGCATAATAATCATAACAAATATACACATAAATGTGAACACCATGTAAAATATGACAGTTACACCAAGCTCAAAGAGGTGACTGAAGGACAAAGAAAAAGCGCTTCAAATATAAGGAAATTATTTTAAACGAGGTTAGATTTTGTGTGTGAACATCGAAAGAAAATGACACGCAAAGCACAAACACTGCGCCGGCTTTTGGGTGGCTAATTGGTGAGGGCGGATATGCGACGGTCGGATATGGAGACGTTGAACTGTGCCTAGAAGAAAACCGGATGCATAACGCAGGGATAACAGTGAAAGAGCTACGCAGGTTCATTCACAGCAACCGCTTGCGATAATTGCCATCTTACAATCGGGTGAGATGCCAACCATCTCCTCTCAACGGCTGGATTACAGGCGGGTGCCAATGTGGCCGACCGAGGCGATGCGTAATGAACGACAGCTGAATTCTCGCGGAGTCAGTTGCACCGTAGCGAACGATTATACCAAGAGAGTCGGCTTGCTCGCACTCGCGTGCTACGTGTTAAAACTAAAAGTGAACTTGGAAAAGAAAGTTTCAACAAAAATGTACACGTGGATTGCAGTAAGCATCTCGCTAGTCACGTCGCTTTCCAAACAGCCACGGTTCCGGTGAATAAGAACACGGATAACGCACCTTTTCGGTCTTTTTGAAGTTTTCGAAGATTCAAGTTCCCACGCAAAGAAATAAGCAGAACATGAATGGAGTGTAAAATACTTGATCGTGGCGGTTGGTTTTTATGTGTGTGTGTGTGTCTGTGTGTGTCTAACGCGAAAAATTGCCAAACTCCCCGTAGTCGTTTCGCACGAGGACGCAACCGAGCCCAGAACGTGTCCTCTCTTGCCGGCCGTGGCCGCGTGCCCAATGAAGTCAAACTCCTCACCCGAGCGCCGCTGCCCTTTGCCGCAGCGGTGACGCGACGCTTCTTCTTCTGGGGCGAGTCTCGGCGCGCGCCTCTTTTTGATGTGGACCGGGCGGGTGGGAAGGGAGGCGCAGCAGTTGGAGATGCGGCAGGGGACTTCGCTGGAGAAGCTTTTTGCGGTGCCACGGCTGTCTTGCCGCCGCCGGGGGTGGGGGCCTTTTTAAACGTGCGCCGATGTTGCGAGCGAGCCAGCGAGCTGGCCGTGGGTGAGATCGCAAAAATGATCCCGTGATACGTTTTGGAAATACCCTGCGAGAGGCACCGTCCCGCACACCGCAACAAATGATTCACCGTTTTTTCTAGACAGACTCGACTTCAAAAGTTGACGCGTGCTTTGTGTGTTGCCGTGACTGTCTAGTTCCTTATTGTTTCTCACAGTGCGCGCGCGTGCGCTTGTTTTTCCTCTTTTGTTTTTAGAAAATGAGGTTTGAAAAAAATGATTTGGCAACGGCGCTGTGGCGTTGAAAGGAAGACGATACGATAGGTGGCTAGTTATTGTGGTTGTGGTGGCGCTTCATCATCGGGAGGCCAGAGAGGTTTTGAGTGTGGATGACGGGAGTTGAAGACACTCTACGCCATGGGGGCCAGTTTTCACGTTGTCACATGAATAGTCGCGTGATAGTAGCTATTGGATAGACTAGACAAACACTTGAATAATGAACAGGCATTACTTGATTGACTCAAGTGATGTGAATGCGTTGGGTTGTTTTTGTTGTTGAGTTTGCTTTGTGCGCCGCCGTCAAACGCTGCAACAGCGGCACCAAATAATAATAATAAAACGTTTTTATTTGCATTTAAATAGAGGACTACATGGCGGCGATGATGTTGTACAGTAGGTAATGTTATTTGTGTAATCGCTTGGTGGTATTGTCATTATTTATTTACCGTAGTGTTGTCGTCTGTCAGTAAATGTGAAGCTTCCTGTGGGGTTATCTTTGATGCAGCTTCGCTTTTGGTTCCTGATCTAAGTGTTGAGCGTCCGTGTTAATTCAGATCCAGAATGTATCATGTATGAGTATGAGAAATTATGATGAATGCGAATTAGATTTTTTTGGCACAATAGGGGGCACAGGTGGTGCATCGGCCACTCATCTCAGTCGGTCGACCCGTGGCACCTGCTGGGTCTGCCCCGTGACCTCCTGCCAGCGGCGTTCGACACTTCGTGTGGCCTCAACGTGCACCTAGCCTGGCACAAGAGCCCTGGTGACGTCACCGCCACTTAGTGGCGAATGGCGGTTGTTGTTGTGTGCCTATTAATAAAAAAGGTGTTTTTAGGAATATTTGCGTTGTGTCCTATTTTTCAGAACAAATATAAACTTTTGTTTCCGCAAACGGGACAGCGGCTCTGGGGAAATCCTTTTCCTTACAACCCCTTACCCATCCGCACTTTACAGTCTCATACACTGATGGGAAAACAGTGGCATCGTGTTCGCAACCGGTACAGTTTTAGTTTTTAAAAACGACATGACTTCCACGCAAAGCGTGTGGATGCATCCGTGGGCACAGCGCATGCGAACGCTGTGTTTTAAAGCGCTCCCCGACTTGACGTAACACGGTTAACGTGCAGCAACATTAATGGTAAATTATTAAACAGTGGAGCTAGGCTCACAATGCAGGTGGCATGAGTGTTCTTGTTGAACAAAAGGGCCCGTGGGCTTAGTGGATGCACGGGGGGGGGGTGGGCTTGAGTCATCGTACGCGAGGATCATGGGCTGCTTCCGCGCTGAGCCAGGCTGGATTATGTCTGTGGGCACGCCACGGATTCAGCTCCTGTCAGATGGTGGTGGAGGGAGCACCTCAACATTGAACTTTAAACTAAACAACATTTTTATTTTACCAGGCCCAGTGAGCGACACAGTTATTTTTCAAAAGCGACCTTGCTATCACGAATGATAGCTCAGCGAAGCGGCTTGTGGTGTGGACATTTATAGCAGCAAAATATTCGAAGCGCATGTTGATTCCAAATGTATAGGGAAAAACCGGAGGAACTGGAGGGAAATCCACGCCACGTCGGGGAGAGAGAGAGACACGCAAACTCAAAATATACAGCAGCAGGCGTCAGGGTTGGAATTGAACCGACGACCGCCTGCATATCAGGCGAGGTAGTCAACATCTCCTCGCCACTGTGGTGCCCTGAACTTAGGCCGGGGACGTTTGGTGGTGCAGGACCCAGCCCTGCCACCCACGTCTTGTCACCCACGTCTTACCACCCACGTCTTGCCACCCACGTCTTGCCACCCACGTCTTGCCACCCACGTCTTGTCACCCACGTCTTGTCACCCACGTGTTGCCACCCACGTCTTACCACCCACGTGTTGCCACCCACGTCTTACCACCCACGTCTTGCCACCCACGTCTTGTCACCCACGCTTTGTCACCCACGTCTCACCACCCACGTGTTGTCACCCACGTCTTACCACCCACGTCTTGCCACCCACGTGTTGTCACCCACGCCTTGTCACCCACGTCTTGTCAACCACGCCTTGTCACCCACGTCTCACCACCCACGTGTTGCCCCCCACGTCTTTCCACCCACGTGTTTCTAGCCCGGCCGTGGCAGCAAGTCTAACCGTGCGTGTGTGCTGCCTCGAGTTATTACAATGTGTGAGTGGTGAGTCGTAATTATTTCCCAGGCCATCAGGGGTGGTGTTTTGTAGCTGCTGCAGCTGGGTACATACATACGGATTAACGACAGTGTAGTTTTCACGCCATTACAAATGGAAGGCATTGTTTGTGGAAAATAACACCAAAATGCACTATTTATGTACTGTATTAATGTATACAACATATCTGCAAGCGAAGAGCAGCTGTGTTTAACCTGCCTTTGCCTTTTGTTGTTTGATATCGCTCTATTTTGTATGTGTAGTAGAAGCTGGATATATTCACACCCCTTGTGAGCAAGAACACGTGTGATGATATCCACAATAGTGGGTTTGTATCAGCAGCTGCCCTTTGCCTTCCCCCCATCAGTTAAATGTCAGCATGTGTTCCTTATATCAGAATTATGCTTCGATAAGGTGTGCTTATGTCCAACTTTCACTAGATTTACACACAGAGTGATCCTTTCATAGATACCCCGACTAACGTAATCGGGAGGAATTATTTGGCGGAGGAAAACAGGGTTTAATGTCAAAGCCTCTTCACGTATCCCGCCAATTGCAATTCACTCTGTTAGATGATCTAACACCCTCCTCTGTCAGATATGGAGACTCTCTCCCAAAAGGTTCAGTCACCTGTTGAGAAAGAAAGTGATATGAGGCTCATTATAAATCGGCAGTATGGTCATTAACGTAATCGCCCTGTATGCCTGTGTATGATGGATGATATACTCTGCGACCGCAAGGCTATAACCACTATAATCTTTGTCTCAAATGAAGGGTAATGCATTGAAACTCCCCGAGTCACTTTAATCATTTAAAAATGTACTTTTGTTGATTTATACATTTTCATATCTGTCGTAGATCCAGGAAGGCCTCCCTGAGGCCCTGAGTATACACAGTTAACGACGGTTCTCTTTACAATATTCATGAGTGCGTGCCAGCCATGTGCTCCTCCGCTAAAGCTAATTTCGGGTTTGTGATAGGTGGCGGTGGCTCGGGGAGGCCTTCCTCCAGCAGTGGATTGACCATGACCGATAATGATGATGATCAGTTTAACTCGCAGGCTTTCGCGACCAATATTATTCATAATCAACGTTTTTGGGTTATATCGCGTTATTTATAAATTCGCCAGAATGGTGAATTGCCCGATCATGCTGGATGCAATTACCAGCGAAACGTCGTACTCAAAAATTGTAAATGTTGTGGTTTCACGCTTCAACACACCGGTGGGCTATTTGTCTTTTGTCAACGTGACACTTTTTTTGCTGATTGGCCGTGTCGGGTGATGGAGGGTTACGACACATTTATAAATAATGCGATCTAACCCAAAAACGTTGATTATGAATGATGATGATGATGATTAAAAGCAAAGGTTGGCTGGCATGAGATAGTGGTGTCATGTATCAGATAACGGGGGAACATCCATTTAATTACTGACACATCCTCATCAGCTAATTCATCTATCCACGGATGGATGAATTATTTTATTTAGTTTATTAAGTTTGTTGAGCCTCCTGGCCAGTATTGTGAGAAACGTAGCCCCTCTTTCACCCAGTCTCTATGGATCTCGATGAGTCTCTGTGGTGGCAGGACACGAGAAGACAAAGTGGATGCACCCAAAACTCGAGCTTAGATTTATGGGTCAAAACAGCAACGTGGCAAATGCCATCGTATTTAGGATTCATAAGTTTCAGTGGACTGTCCTAGAGATTGAGAGCTTAAGTTATGTATATTTAGTAATATTGTGGTTGAATGGAAATTTTCATTGTAAACAAAATTGAGTTGGGATTCTTAGCGTCAGTTAAAACACCCAAAAAAACATATTCGAATTATTTTAGTCAAATCAACTTAAATTCCCGTGGCTCAAAGAGCCAAACTATTTTAGCCAGATACATCTGAGAACACCGAAGAGGGAAACTTCAGCGCTGTTCAGAACGGTTCCGAGTCCAATGCGGCGATGTCTCCACGGAGGGGAAACGGCAGTGAAAAGTTTGTAGTTTTTTAACTATAAAGAATAATTGAGTAATGCTTTTTTTAATGGTGTAATATGATTTATATTCATACAGGAACGGATATGAAAGGCTTACTGTGCATAGGGAGAGAGGTAGGTTGATTGGGTTTTAATTGCTGGTGATTTTCCCATTTGGCACATTTGGGCAAATTGTTTCCAGAACAAAGACAAAATCCTGATAACCGCAGACCTTTGAATGTTATTCAATTTGCAGTGCACAATGCGCTTCGATAATCGAAATGCCTGGGTAACTGGAGACTTGAGTCATCGTCCACGTGGATACATCCCCCATCGGTGAAATCAACGCCAGACAATGCATCCAATAATGGACCTGAAATTGTGTAAGTTTGTGGGAAGACCCGCTGGTTTGCAAGTCATGAGCCCTGACTGGGCTATTGATAGCACATGCAACCGACGTCAACGTCAAATTATAAACATTCTTTGCCCACGCTAGTCACAAGACGATGAGCGATTAGGGAACCAACTGCAAAAAGACGGTCGGCAGCGATGAGCTTCCGTTTTTTCTGTGGTGGTGGTGGTGGTGGCGGAGAGAATCACGGTGTATCCCGTGACAGCACCCTCCGATGTGGGCAGACAGCTCGTGACCCATAGGCACGACTACGCAACACCTTCACGACCGCCCACGTGCCCACTCGTCATCCACTCGGAGCACGTGAAGGGGACATGTTACGAGACTTTGAAAAAGAAGAAACTCGATCGGAGCTGGCTCTTCCCAGCGGTGAGAGGGCTCCGTGATTGTGCGCACACGCCGTCTGCAATTGTTTAGTGACATCACAAGACGTTTTCTCAACGTCTGCTTACAGATGAATGCATTGTAAACATTTATATATCACTCGTTTGCATGTCGTTTAATGTCCAGTATCATGCGGTGCCGTTACATCACAATTTTTTTACGTGTTTAGTATATTCATTCTTTTTCCCCGAAATTAAATGTCAATTGATTTGATACGTCACATATCCGACTCGCTGCGGATATAAGCACGCGTGTGACAAGGTTGGATATCTGAACATTATTAGGGAAAATTATGGTCACAGCGCTGCTTTAAATATGGAAAATGCTTTTCTGTATTTTGAATTGGGGTTGCACAGCGATTACTCACTAATTGTATGACTCAACTCCATCACTGCATTCAAGTCACAGCTCACAACACATCTCTGTACGCTTGCATGCAATCGCTAATCAGCCACAACTTGCCTTAAAAAAAGAAAACTCTGAAATTGTCTATTTTATATTCATGGGTGTAACGATGTTGATGATGTCGATTCGGGTGGCAGATTGGTGCCAGAAATGCACCACTCGTGTTCATCAAAAAGTCAAATGACTTGACTGATGTGCATGGGATTAAGACACCGTGACTCTTCGTAGAAAGGTCACATTTGTGAACATCAGGAGCGTCTGACAGTTAACAACCACGCACAAACACTGCACAGGGTGTGGGTGGTAATTCGGGAATGGGTGGATCACGCGACGTCCGATATGCGACCTCGTGCCGTACACCACAGTTTTGTTTCACACGTACCGGGAATAGATTTACGCGGTTCATCGAGTTTGGCACGAGGGGGCATTCACGATGCCGCGGTCAAAGGGAACATGTTGAAGGGTGAATACTAAATGCAGATGGAGGCGCAGGAGATGTTTGCCCTCGTGCAACAGAGTTTGGAATTCTCGTAAAGGACGCGATGTGGCAACGGTGAGCAAAGACGAGAAAGCACCACGCAAGGAATTCGGTAGCATTGAGTGGTATTAATTCTAGATTTGAAGCTTTAGTGACTGCAAGGATTCATATTCTTAGGTTTTGTCGGTAAAGTCACGTAGATAAATAAAAAAATAATAAAAGTAAAATAAAAATAAAATAAAATAATTTTAAAATAAAATAATTTTATTTTAATTTTACTTTTATACATTTTATTTTTTTATCTACGTGACTTTACCGAAAAAACTTAAGAATATAGCATTGAGTGGCTTTAAATGTTTAAATGAGAAGCCGACAATCGCGACTGCGCTCAAACACAGAGGGCCCAGGGAGAATGGCTCTTGCGGATCTGGTTCTGCCGAGGTCTCTTTGAATTTTAAAATGAAAAGCCAGCCAGCGCGAGTGCCTTGGGGGGTAGGCGTTCAGAACACCAGGCCGGGCAAGAGTCTGGTAAATGGTGCTCAAGGAAATGCCTGGTTGTCACTTTAAAATGATGTCGGCACGAAATGCAAGTTGTCGTAAATGGCAATGTGGTGCTAAGTGGAGTGTGAGCTGTGTGGTAATGGTGCTCCGTGCGTGAAGAGTTTTCCACAGTCCTTGGTCATTAAACACTGTGGGCGACCCATTATGAACCCTTCACAGAACTGACAAATATATTGTGATGTTTGCTTCGTTTTGTGTGTGGTCTCTGACAAACCGACATTAATTCGTTTTGTTTTTGTTGTTTATAATTATATAGGGTTTTTTTAAAATCAATAATTGCTCATGAAATGCGTTTGTTTATTTATATATAGCAGTGCTTTTTTTGTTGTGGGTTGTATAACGCATAGGATGATGTATCCATCCTGGGTTGGTAATTTAGTATTTTCCATGAGCTTCATATCAATCGACTGAGTTGTAATTCCTTGACTGATTGATGCGCTGAGGTTGGAGCTTCAAGTCTCCGAACAGCCAGAGGTGAAACCTACATCCACAACAAATGAATCCTGTGTGGGTTTCTAGAAACATAGGCTAGGTTGATGGATGGTGGGGGTGAAGTGATTGGGGAAAATGATAGGCATTTACAAAAGTAAAAAAAATAAAACGTATTCATTGACTTGCACGTTCTGAGCAAAGAACAAGGGATGTTATGCAACATTGCTCTCACCGCTTTTAAAGCCTTCGCTCACTTGCTTTAATTTGGCTGCTGGGATCTTGGACAGTTACACTAATTTGTAATAATTATAAACACGGTCTGGTGTGACTTTAGAAACTTTCAGTGACCCACAGTTCTTAAATACTCTCATGGTAAAGTGTGTATTTTCTTCGCTTTCTTAAACTGTTGTTACTAGGAGTATTATCGTTATTATTGTTTTGGAATGCTGCTGTGGTGTCGCGGTTGTCACACTGGATGGAGGTCGCCAATTCGATCGCTGAGAACGGCAGTGGAAAGATCGGACGGGTTTCTCAAACCCGTCCCCCTCCTTTATCCACCCGGCAGCATCAGTGGGGTGAGCGCAACGAGTCGATCACGATCGGGACGCAGAGTCGGACACGGAAGATCAGACTCTTGGTCACCGCTCTTGCTCAGACGTGGTTTCAAGCACGGCTCAGCCAAAGCTTGGCTCAGCCTCAGCTCATTATTACACATCGGCGTAGAACGCATTGTTGTTGTGTTAGCGCCGTTGGCTACGTACGGTGCGAAAGAAGTTCAACATAGGCACATGCACGAGTACGACTAAATCCCAAACAAGACTGGGGCCAAGCTCACAAGCGTCTCCAGTGAAGTGTGGCTCTAAGCCACCTCATTTGAGCATGAGCCCACCCATGGCAAAGAACACGAGGCTGAGATGTTGTTTAATTATTATTATTGAGGACACAACTCAGCTCGTTTGATACCAAGCGTCTCTCCCAGCTCGGGACGCCAATGGGATATAATGAACGTCTCGTGTTGGATTATCGGCCGCCTGCTACAAGAGTGCCAACATGAACGTTTTGGGGCATGTGGCTCAATTCCGAGTGGTAAAGCCTGCCTCACCGGTTCTCTCTGCGAGAGTGCCTTTGGGGAGTGGATGAGGCGAAGGGCATTGTCAGAGCCCGTACACAATCGATTGCCAATGTTAAGACAGTGAGACAAGGGAAGGATGCTCGTTTGGGGGAGTGTGCATGCAGAGACCTCTTGAATCGGAATTGGCTAACCTTGCTTGAAATGATCAGCCCTAGGAAACCTTCAACTTAAGCTTTCTGGTAAAACATTGCTCCTGCTTGTGAGTAGGAGCTGTGTGAATGAATGTGAACAACACAATTATGTTCCCAAGGCTTCTGCAAGTGTCGTCCGCTTCGGTGAGTGCTCAATCTGTAATGGGGTCACCCCCAATCCAAGTTGCTTTCGGACCTTCTTGATTTGCTTCACCAAACATCCTTAGGTATCCCAAAACACAGCTTCGTGTGCTTGAACATGCATAGATGTGGCACAATCGTAATTATTCTTGCACCGAAGGTCTGAGCTGGAACTTAACAGCAGTTAATGGCACGTAGTTTTTGAATCACAGCCATCACAGAATCACAGCTATAATCACACATAATGTTTAAAATATATCTTTTTGTTGTTGGAAGTGCGTTTTCTTTCTCCATGGAAAGGAAGCATTCATGCAGATGCAGAATAGATGCCTGAGTGCATGCACCAGTGGTCTGCCAACGCAGCAAGGAGCAATCCATTGCAGTGGAGTCAGTATTTGAACAAAATCAATAAAACCGGAATATTTTTTGCAGGGGTCTTTTTCACGAGTCACAAAAACAAACAATCCACTCTTACAAATGGGGAGCTAGGCTGAGTACAAAAGACATTTAAAGGGATAAACATTTAACATTATGTTCTTTGTGCTTGACAACATTCTAAAATGGCAAACATCCTCCCCGTGCTTCCGGCTCTTTTCTGTTCGATATTTGATGCTCATTTACCTCCCAGCACCAATGATGAGGTTATGGTCTGAACTTACGGTCATGGGACAGGGTGAATCGCACGTTCTGCAGCAGCGGTGCAATTGGTGGTCATTGCACCGATTGTGGCGTGCAATCTGCAGTGTCGTGAGTGCGCTGTTGACCGCAGTGTGTGTGTGTGTCACAACTTAGCAACGTTGCGCAACTTGACATTGCATTTGCCTCAAATGTCACCCCTCTGTTCGACGAATGATCACAGCTTGGGGCTGTGACTTCACTCGAGAATTGACTCCACGTTTATTTCGCGATTGCTCTCTGATCAGTACGTTTTCGAACGTTTCAATCGCGCTTGCACACGCGTGTTCACGCCGTTAGCCCGAGAGTGGAACACCAACTAACTATCTTTGCGTCGTCGTGAAATGCGCCCAGCGAGCGAGCGAGCACGCAACAGTTCTTTCTTTACTCCAGTGAGGGTGGCCTGTGATAGGTACGAACCCTGATTTAACGTCTTGTTGTTGTTGTTTAAAGTGCATTTCGTTTTTCCTCTTCGCAGATTGCCAAGCAGGAAAAACAGCAGCAGAGGCAGCAGCAGACAACACCCAAAGTAAAATCAGCGGCAGCAGCATCATCATCAGAGCAACAAGACAAGCCGAGTGGAGCTGAAGGAGGCAGCACAGCGCGAAGCAGCGACTGATCTCGTTTTACCCGGCGAACCGCGTGCGTGCGAACAGGCAAGCACTTTTAGTACTGGTAGGAACCTCCAGGTTACACCAGCCCACAGGGGATTATTGTGTCCGTCCGTCGTGATTCCAAAAAGGGGAGGGGTGGGGCTGGGTGGACAGGAGAGGGTGGGGAGGGGCTGGGTGGGGTGGGGAGGGGCTGGGTGGAGAGGGGCTGGTCACCCCGTAGTGCCCTTAAATGTTTAACCTACTCACGTCGGCTTGTGCCCGCCCTCACAGTCAGGAATATTTGCGGAATACACCACGCCGCCGTTGACCCTGGCCATGACCGAGCAACCCAACGTTCCTAGCAGCTCCCTCCGCAGGAATGTGTTTAATTAGAACATGACCAGCACCAGCCTCCTGAGTTTCTCTCTGTGTGAAACGGACACGTTCTGCATGGTCCCCACCTCGTTTTTCTGTTTTGGTTTTGACCGAGTGGAATTAATGAGGTGATTGTGTAGTTAATTGCAGCATTTGCCAATGGAGGGTATCTTTTTTTCCCCAAGTTTGCTAGAATTCCGTGTTCACACTCACGTTGGCTCGTATTTGTTCTTATCTCATTACGGAGTTTTCGTTGTTTGCAGTTGCCATTTCCCTGTTTGTGTTCATAGCATCTCCATTCATACTGTTTCAAACTGCTCTACCAATGTCTTTATTGGCAAAGAGACGCTTAGGCTCACCGGGCCCTCAAGACGGTAATAAATAATGATGATGATATGTTATAACAGATATGTAGATGTTCACTGGTTTCTTAGCATGTGGTTGCTACTTTTACTTTTTGAATGCAAGCTGGAAATGGATACATTTGTGCGGAGCAACCGAAAAAGAGGCCAAACATCCTGAAGGCAACCCATGCCGTGTGTGTTGAACCTGGTTATCGTTTTAAATTAAAACACGATGGAGGGGTGAAGGAACATGCCCAAAGAGCCATGCGCGTGGTCAGGACCTCGTCACCCAGCGACATTTACAGTCATAGCCCTAACAGACGTTTTGGGGCAAGTGCTGTTAGCGAGCGCCTATGAAGGCTGGAATGGTACACGGGGGGGTGGGTGGCCAGCACCCCGCCTGGCCGCCTTTGTCTCCCGAGTGGCGATTTCTACACACCGCACTTAGTACTAATTTGAGGCTTAGTCGACTTAGGGGAGGTCCATGACCGGTTCAGACAATCATCACTGGGTGTTGACTGTGAGCGGGAATCGAACTCGGGTCACCGGGTTCATAGCGCAGCGCGCTTCAGCGCTAACACTACCGTGACTGGAGCGGAGCGTTTGACTGGCAACAGACGTTACAATCAAGCACGTGTAGATGTTCTTGTAGCACACGTCACTCGTGCAGTCTCACTCTTTAGCCTTCCACGTGGCGTGGTGATGAGAAGCGTCGTGTGCATGTAGAGGGTGGGGGGCTGCTGGGTGAGAGCCACGGGCGTGACGCTGTGAACGTCTGAGAAGTTGCCGATGGATTGAGTGAAGTTTGTGCCATTGTTGGTGGTTGAGTTGCCGTGGTTTGCCTTTGATAACCACAACCGCAATGTGGTCTGGCTTTTCATCTTGCTCAGTGTGTAGTAGCAGTAGCTGGCCACACCTGTGTGGCCTCCCCCACGGTCCGTCAGGCAGTACCTTGTATTTGGACACGGACAAGCACAGACAGAACCCCAGCAAATGACCCTGGGGTGAATAATGACAAATCAGCACCATAGAATCAAAAGCAAATAGCAGAGCTTAGTCAGGGCTGTGCTGTCACTGAATAAAAATCAACTGATTATGTTTTAAAATTGAGTGAATCGCTTTCCTTAAAGCTTTTATTGATGGAAATGTTAGTTTGTATTTTGAATTTGAATTAAGACAGCTTTTGAAAAAGTACATAGGGTCAGCTGTGGCCTATTAAAGTCAGAGATAGCTGGTCATCATTTTATTTATGAGTTTTGAAATGGAAAAACGGCGTGAGTGGATTTTTAGAGGGTTTTCAGGGGCTCTTCGCGGAATTTAGAGACTTTATATAACCAAACGAATAATATTAGTGGATTCACAGGCTTCCAACGGACACACTTCAGCCCATGAGGACCTTTTTGCCAAGAGCCAGAGGAAACTCATTACGAAAAGTTAAAAGAGGAAATGCTTCCAAATTCGTTGCAATAATATGAATACAGATTGCTCTTAAAATTGAAAGATTTACTATAGATCAGTGTTCTTAACTAATTATCAGAGGGTTAGGGGCCATTTTCGCCGATAAGACAGCATCAGTATGAGGGCCGCCACGCATTTTAAACTATTGGGGGTTTGACAGCAGCATGATGATGATGATGAAGGGGAGTGTTTTCACATTTGCGTATTGTCAGGGGCCGCACGCCAGAGGCCACACTAAAGACCTGTTGGTGGCCCGCGGGCCTTGCAATGAAGAACACCGCTCTAGACCATGAGAATCTGCCATGGTGTCATGGTTCGCACAATGGACTTCAAATCCAGAGGTCGTCAGTTTGATCTCCCGGTGTGGCAGTTGAAATAAATCCACCCCGCCCTCGCGCCCGCCCCCCACTCCATCTCTGTCCAGCCTGCAGTATAAATGTGTACATTATCACGTGTGGTGGGGTCAAGTATGGGCACTCCCACCTCTTCAAACATGTATGTTGAACCTCTTTCGCACCGTACGTAGCCAACCGTGCTAATCGGAGGTGCCATATGTCTGGTCAGTGTGGAAGAGTAGGCCAAACACCCTCTACAGGGGGGCTCTAGTGGAGGAACTCCGCAGCAGTGGCATCAGAGAGCGATTGTCATGTTCTTCCGTAACCTACTCAAACGTGCGTTGCAGTTATTGTCGTTTTGCTGTAGCACACGGACATGTTCATGCATATTAAACACATCGTGTTAGTTATTTATAACTTCAGTAATTCCTGAATGGCCGAGGGACGTGGTGGCTCGTGGTATAACGAAACTCCAGTGGATGGCGACATCAACTAAAACACTTTTTACCGAGGTGTAAACCCGCACTCGTTTTGTTCTGCGTGTGTGTGTGCCCTCTGGTGGCCGACTTAGCCTCAAATGAGCACCTGGTGCGGTGTGCAGTCATCATTGCCACTAGGGAAACAAAGGCGGCCGGGCGTGGTGCGGGCCAACCCACTCGCTCGTGTGCAGACCCGGCTTTCATAGGTGCACTTGCCCCAACAGTCTTTTAAAGGCTATACGGGGGATCTTTGTCTTTGCCCCCTGGTGAGGCCTTGCCCGTGTCCTCTCTGTTGGTGGCGGGGGGGGGGGGGGGGGGGTATTGCCGGAGGAGATGCTCACTTCTTCCAGGGCCAGACATCCACTGCGGGACAGACTTGCGATCTGGAGTGCCTCTACCACTTTCATAATCCTCAATCCAGACCGTAGTTTGTAATTAGGTAGGGGCACAAAGACTAAATTAAGGTAAGTGTAACATTAATTCAGATTGATTTCATAATAATAGATTAACTGATAATAATCAAGTGTTCCAGCGTTGATTAATACAGGTCATGATACACAACTCGTGAATTATTTCATACTAACTCGTTACTGCTGTAAGGCCCTATTTGTCAATGTCTTGCTGGACGAGGAGCTGCCATGCTGTGGGGGTCGTGGGGGTTAATTGACCATACTTCACTCTGCTGGTCAATCTGCGGATTGGTGAAGGCAGCGAATATACGTTGCAGTATTGGTTAGTGCAACAATGCATAACTAATACCAATTCTAAATGATGTAAATTATATTTGTTATCTTATGAATTATACATTCTCAATAATCATGAGCACTGGGTTAGCGCCCTGAGGTTGTCTCCGAATGATTTTGCCCAACAGTCACCGTTGCTTACATCGCGTTAATTATTGATAAGGCCCTACGGGCACTGCTTTAAAAATGTGTTGTGAAAATATTGATGGCTCAGAAGCATTTGAAAGGTCTGTTTGCTTTGACATCCTCCCAAGAGGATGCCCAACTTGTCTGGGATTGTATTATTATCCCGGATTACATCGTCATCCTTCATTATCCTTAGCTACATCCTCTACCTCCCCGATTGCATTGTCACCCGACCCAAATGGTTTTTCAGTTGGATCAACGACGTACACCACGTGACCCTAGGGCCCGATACGACCCAAGGCCCCCAAATGCCCCAATGGTTTGTAATCAGCCCAAGGTCCTTCGGTGACTCCGTGATGCCCAGATGGCAAACGATCCTCCAAATGAAGCATGCCACCCCGTACATGATTGAAATTCCGGCTACCCCCCCCCCCCCAAAGAAAAATGAAATAGGAGTTTCAAAATTACGTAAGGCCCCCAAAATTACCAATTTCCCCTCCCACAAATACGATTCAGTACAATAATGTACAATGTCACTTTAATTAAAATCGCGTCTAAATGCCACCACGTCTTGAGACACTGTAGATGTTTTTTTTTCCATGGAGAGGCAGGCAGAAGTCAGAGGTGGACAGGAAAACGAAGGCAGGCCTCATGTCTGGACAAGAACAAGGTCAAGGAGTCAACAGCGTGGATCGCTGGGGGACGAGAGTTGCAGACCGTGACCCACATGACCCTAAGGAGCTCGTTATCACGATTTAGCAACTCTAGACGCTTTCTCTGCCAAGTTAATAAACTCCTTCCATCATTCTCGACACGTCGCGCCATATTTCCAATGAAGCATTCACTGTTGCATCACTCATCGTTCATCATGACACTCTGTTCTGTCTCTGCAGTTGAGTTCTCTCTCGAAAATAACTTGAGTGGTTTTACTCTTTCCTGTGTATAATGTGGGGGTTGGGGGGGCGAAAGTTATGCAAACTGCACAGTAGTGAACACAGATCTGTGTTGGAGCAGTGCTTGGTAACTGGCTCTGAATAAATACCGTTCGCAGCAGCTATAGCTGGAGCAGAAGTTAAAACTGGGGGGGGGGGGGGATATGAGCCATTGAGAATTGTCTCACTGATTTTTTTCATTACAAGATTAAGTTGCCCAAAAATCTAAATACTCTACACAGAAACCTCCTCTGAAACATTTTTTCGACTCGGTGATGTTTTCCTGGCAAAATAAATGACATGATTTTTATATTGCCCGCCGGGATGTTGAGTCTCTACAAACTCATTCACTTTGCCGTTCTCAGGCTGCGTAACATTTGCATCATCATCGTCGTCGTCGTAGCTTTGAGTAATTAAATTTGTGTCATTTTTGCTGTTATTCGCCTGTAAAGTGAAAATTTAATTATGTTGCGCGCCATCGCTCAGCTGTAATGATTCACCGCCCTCAATGAATCATGGGAATTAATTATTTTCCACTCGGTGGTGACTGGCTTGGTAAGTCTGAACTGCAGGGGGATTTGATCCCATTGCACGCTGGCATAACGAATTTAAAACCATTGATTCTGACAAACGCAATTCGATGCGTGTTTCTTGACCTTAAACATTTTTTTTTATCGATGTATCATTGCACCTCTACATTTTATTCACCATCATATCATCACTGTTTTTTTACAATTGCGTAATTACACAAAATCTGTTGTCAAGATTATTAAAGGGCAGTTTTTTTATCAATCAATGGTGACTGGGCTAAGCCAAGGCCCTCATTCGCTTTACTTTGAGACTGTCTATGGCCACGTGGCCTGCGCGAGGCAGCCATGTGTCTTTGCTTCATGAGGCGAGCATGAAGCTAAGAACAAGCAAGGCTCCGATTAGCACGCTTGTCTACACACGGTGTGAAAGACGTTCAACATGCGTACATCCAAGCAAACATTCGAGGGAGCTGCAATGCTCCAAACACAAACTACTTAATTCGTAAATCAATCCACACCCATGTCGAGAACCAGATCTCTTGTCTGCATCCCATCAATCACTGACTGTGTGCATTCATGCATTGATGTGGTACTGGTGATTTGCTGCTGATCCTGCAATACAACAGAGGAGCCATAATTTATTAACATATTGCATTTAATACATTATTCTTGATTTACTTCGCGTTTAGGAAACACGCAGAGGGAGAGCAATGCCCGTGTTTCTATATTTTATGAGACAGTGTGGCATTAAATACGGTCATTTGCAGTCTATTGTGGGCAATACGTAGACTATTGCTGTATATGCCTGAATAATCATTTAATGTCTTTATTTAGCGGCGGCAGTGCCCTTGAAGTTCCCGTCACACTTGGACCCACGACCACCTCCCTCGACCGCAGCGGTGTTGCACGTGGACTGGATGGTTCTCGTGTATCTAAGACGGTCGGCAAGAGGCGGGCTTCTGGGAATGTGAGCGCGCATTGGGACAGGCGCGTGTGTGTGTGTGTGGACAGTAATAAACGTGGAAAGCAATAAATGTTATCCTGCAAGGAACACTTGTGCGTTTTTTGTGTGGTGTTACCTTTACGGTTTCAACGTATTTCATGCAGCGTCACGCAGCCTTGTTCTCGCGCGGCGGCCATGGGGTGTGTGTGTGTGTGTGTGCAAGACGTAATCCGACTGATTTACTCAATTATCACTGTCACAAGCTGATTGTGAGCAGCGCAGTCCAGGTAAGGAGTTATTTATTACCCTGTCCTCTATTGCATCGCTGCTTTTCATTTTTGCAACCCGAAATGTTAAGTTCTGAGAGTTTATGAGCTGTGAAAGTTCTCGAACATATTCAAGCTTATTAATTTTCTTGGTTCGTTCGGTAAAGTCACGTAGAAAGGAAATAATTAAATTTAATAAATATTATTTCTCTTCTACGTGACTTTACCGAAAGAACCAAGAATATGAATCCCTGCAGTCACGAAAAACTTTAAATCAAAAATATTCAAGCTTATTGTGTACTAGTTATGGTATATTTTGCCAGTAATCCCTGATCGTGTGCTGTTGTTGGACTTAACCTCATATTTGACATCACAAAATGTGCCCATTCTTGATGGGCGGTGGGGAAAGGAGCCAACATCTAATGTTGAGAGCCTTTGCGTAAACATCTCCTGTGGCCAGTTTGATTTTTGTCTCACCGGGCGCATGTGTACAGAGGGGATACGCTGCTTCGTGGTCATCTGCAAGTCTTGTGTCAGTTGTGTGTGTCAGTTGTGTGTGTCAGTCGTGTGTGTCAGTCGTGTGTGTCAGTCGTGTGTGTCAGTCGTGTGTGTCAGTCGTGTGTGTCAGTTGTGTGTGTCAGTTGTGTCAGTTGTGTGTGTCAGTTGTGTGTGTCAGTTGTGTGTGTCTGGTGCTTCACAGGGAACTGGTCCATCGCTTTGGCTTCCTTCTTGGCACATTCCATTGGGCCCCAAATTATCTGGGAGTCTGACATTCCGTAAAGTATTTCCACCTAACGTGTTGAGTGTGGAGGATTCAGACAACAGGCGACGTTTTTTGATGCAGTGGCGCTTCTTCATAGCATAAAACGTCGTCTATTGCATATTTTTTTCTCCTTTAAGGCCACGGTGTTATTGACCAACGTTTGACGCATTCTATTCAGAGCTTCCGAGCTCCCCTACCACTCAAATGCTCGCGATCGCCACACGGACCTGCATTGAAAGACCAAACCCCCATTTTATAGTTCCTTTGTTAATTCAGCTGTGTGAGCTGTGTGTTTTCAAGCATTACTCTTGCCTCCAGCACCCACCTTCAAACTCTAAATTTCACCTCTTCTGCAACGTTGAGTGTGCGTTCCATCAAAACACCAGCCTCGCTGTCGCAGCACGTTAGCAAGGCTGATTTGACCTCCAAATAAATCACCTCCGTCCTGTCACGAGCCCTCTGGGGAAACAAAAGTAACTTATACCACGAGTGACATTATGACAGCTGAGTTAGGCAAAGTCCCGCAGGCAGCGGCATGCGGATGGGAGGCCATGCCGCCTAGGTGCTGGGAGGTATTTGTAATTATTGGTTTTGTTTTGGGTTTATTATCATTATTGACTACCCTTCATCTTGCTGGTTAGTTTATATCACCGCAGGAAACAAATGAGGGTAAACGAGGAACTACACCCAAGATGCATGCTGCACAAAAGCAAATTCCCAAGCAATATTTTTGACCGGAAGTCATTCTGTTTTTATAATTCAACAGGTGCCGTGTTGCTCTGAATGATTCTGTTTTTACTGTTCTTGAAAAATGTCTAAAGTGAACTGTGTCAGAGTGTTTTCAGACAGTGTGCTGCAGACTCTAAAACACTAAAGGGTTTTATAAATTCCTTTCCACCAGCCTCTGCACTCTGGGGCCATTTCATTTACCTTTACTGGACTGGTGTTTGTTCAGCTTGGATGTAGATTACATTTCATAGGAGTTGGGACCAGTGGCGAATTTCACTATTCGAGTCTGGGATAGTGATTTGGAAATAATGACATTTTTTCCTCAGATCTAGAGTTACGCCACGCTATGTGTGCCCGTGTCTTGTGTTTGCATTCAAGAGTAAAGTCCTAAGTTCTCCTTTGGTACGTGCTCCATACTTATACTGTGCACTATACTGTTTTATTTTAATTAATATTATTTGATAACACTGGTCAACACACTTTTTCTGGCGTAAGGTATTCCAACGGTTTTAAGGTAATTTTAGGGTGCTGATTCCAAATCTGGCATCAGTTTTTGTCTATCACATCAGGTTTTTGAGATATCAAATATTGCATTGTCAATAAAAACTGCAGAAGAAAAATATTTAATAAATGTGGTAATCTACATAAAATTATATTATAAACACACTATCCTAAAAATGCAGCACCATATTTTAACACTAAATCAGTCACTGACTCGCAACAACTTGCAATCATAAGTGACAGAGTTAATTTCGGGTAAAATCAATGAAAATGGGGTATGCCGATAGCATAAAAATGAGATGTAATAGAGCAAATCTGAGATCAGATTTGGAATCATCACCCTGAAATTAGTCTAAAACAGCTGCAAAAGTCCAGGCCAGAAAAAGTTTTTTTTTGTTGACCAGTGTAATCAAAATCATAATTAGTTATTATTGGTTTCTGCATCAGCGGCGGCGGCCATGACCAGTCCTCTGCTGGATCAAAGCTTCCCCCAAGTTGTCACCAACCCTCATGGTACTGTGATGCAGGACTCCAGCGAGCAGCTCCCTGCACACGAGCCGATTCCATCGCTCCATCTCGCACGGCGCACGTCCTCTTGGGCACATGTTGTGCCTTGGCCAACACTCACTATTTACATCTTTCTGCACTCCCAGGGCAATGTATTAGATATGATATTGGGAAAAAAAACCCAAATCGGTTTAAAATAAATATTTAAAAGTTGTTTGGAATTGCACGTTCAGAATGTTTAGTTTTACATCATGTTAAACTTGGCCTCTACGCGGCAGCGTCACCACAGGCCTCAAGCCTCGTGACACCGTCTCTGAAATCATCGTCGTCATCTCACGCTGTCCGTCACCAAGGACGGTGGCGCTCTCTCGCATCTGGAGTCGCTAATCGTTCAGTGGCGGTCGTTACGTTTGGTTCCTGCGAGTTCGCTTGTGACTTGGCAAGACCGGCGTTTAAACGACGCGCATCCTTCCACGGCAGAGATCACGTCACACACAGCGGGCCGAGGGTAACTCCTGTGACCCAGCTTCACCATGTCCACACGATGACCACCACTTCTGACCCTCGCCTCTTGGGTTGTTGTTTCTCCGTGTCTCTGAAATCTGGTGGCGCGAGACAAATAAATGTGCTTATTATTAAATCTATTTTTTTAAATCTCAGTTACTGCGATATGCAAAAGTTTACATGTTCCTTTTCAGAAAACCAATTTACTGTAATTTTTTTCCTCACTCGCTATTTCAATTCAAGGAATTTACAGCTGAGATGCAATAGCGTGTGGATAGAATGATCCCGGCCATATTGCACGTTTACAAGCTCTAGGAAATGAAAAAATGTTGCATATTTTTTTTATTTGAGACGATATTGCATCCCATTCCCGGATTTATAATAATGCTGACTGGCAGCGCTGACCTTTAGTAAAAGGTTAGAGACCTCTGCTGTGTAAAAAAAAATCACATGTAAATAAAATGTGGATGTGGTGAGGGAATCGTGATAGGGGGAGTGGATACGGTTGGCTTGACCGATAAGAATGCTGGGTCTCGGGCTCTCGCATTAATAGCGCAGTGAGCCTTCGCAGCTGCACGCGGACACGCTCGATATGTTAATTTAGGAAATTTCAATTTGCATTGTTGTAAATTAGCACGTGGACATATGGTTTCCCTACATACTGCTGTTGTTTTGTTCCAGTCCGATCTAAGATGCATTTTAAATCGTGAAAAAGTTTTATTTCCTCATTAATATCCACCTCGGCCTGCATGACTCACTCCGAGAATTTAAGCTAAAGCCCCCCTGAGAGATAACCAACAGATGTCTCCACAACAAAACGCCACTCCTGACTGTGACATCAGCATGGGACACTGCCAAATGGTAGTGCACATAAAATGTGGTGAGTAAATACATGGGCTGAATCTCGTGTGCCACTCATGCCATTGCAGGCAGTGAGCTCTGAATTTCTTCAGCCAGATTTGGTTTTCCAACACCTGTGACATGGAATTTACAAGAGGGTTGCCGTCGTATTTCACGGAAACGTAATCCACCAATATCCTTAACCGTAGGCAGTCAACGATGACTTTTATGAGCAAACATGTTCATCACGGGTGAACTTAGTCGATGACGGTTTCAGTTAGCACTGCATATTAAAGTCAAGTCACGGTGCCTCCCTCGTCACGTGAGCAATGCTGCTCCTCTCTCCTGGCAGACCTGAGGCAGTGGTGGAATTTCGACGTTTCCGATATCGCTGTTGACCTCTCACAAATAGGTGCACGGGTTGTTTTTTTCTACCGTGAAGGGATGATATGTTGAATCAACCTCAGACCAGGATTATGACGACATTTATATGAGAACTTGCGCCTAACCCTAGCGCCACCGCTCTGACTGATCATTAAATACGCAGCTGTGCAATGGTGGTTCGTGCACTGCACTGTGGACCCTGCGACCTAAGTTCAATTTGCAGCCGTGGTTAACATCTGTGGTGTGTGATATTTGAACCTTTAATTAACATTCATTTGACAAAGTTGTCTCTGTTTAGGCTGCTGCTATAGAATGAAATGAACATATTAACAGCTTGCTTGGGCCACTTACTGAGCTGTTTTTAAAAATGTCAACATTTTATGACGGTCTATACACTCAGCTCAGATAGTGCATAATATAATGTATATTAAAATGAAGTATATATTAACACTGGAAGACAACCCACGGAGATCCAGTCGCTTCCTATTGAGCATTATAGAACGGGAGATAATTTATAATAATGCACTATGCAAGGAAATTGTTGGTGAAAGATAGAATGGGGTGTGTTTGATATAAATGAGACTACACCCAATTGCATTTATACT